AATCTTGCCTTTCAAGCAGTTTTCTAATTTTAATAGCTTTCATACATGGCCATGTGATACCCCAAATAATGACAGCTTGTGCTCTTCCTTTCCAAGACTTGCCACCAGCTATGATTTCTGCTTTCAGTGTTGGCACATTCTCACTTTATTCATGATTTCAACTGGGAAACTTCTAATGTTTTTTCTCCCATTAAGTGCAGTATGTGTGATGATACTCTTTACCACATTGAGGAAACTTTCTAGTACTCTTAATAATAATCAAAAATGGGTACCATCTCAGCAGAGGGCTTCCTTGTCTAAGTAGCTGACTACTCCACATCTAAAGTCAGAGAGGAAAAGAAGTGGGATCTGGGGAGCACATGCTCAGTTCTTTTATGGAGAAAACCCTTCTATGGAGTCCAAAAACATCACTTCCATTCAGCCTCTCAGTGGCCAAATATGAATTGCACAGCCACATCTAGCTGCAAGGGAAGCTGGGCATTGACACTTTTCACTGGACAGCCTGTGTGCAGCTGAAGCACTACTACTGTAGAGGAGAGACAGACCAAATACTAGAGGATAATGAACTGCACAAGTAATCATATGCATTATTCCTTTAATTTATTAATGTAAAAAATTAAAAATGTTACATTAAATCATCCTTACATTCCCAGAATAATCCCCACTTAGGCATGAAAATTGTTTTAGTGTATTTTTGGATTCTATTTGGGAGTGCTTTTTGTAGAATATTTACACCAGTGTCTACTAAGAATACATTGCTGTGGCAAGTAGTAAGAACATTGTTTACATTTAAACATTACTCTTCAGTTTTTAAAAGTCATTTCACATACATTATCTCTTATAGCAGATGATAATCAGAAGCTGACCCTATTTTTAAAAGTCAACAGAAGTGTGTAAGTAGAAAATAACTACAAGTGGGACAGTGCAGCTTCTTACAGTTACCTAAATCCTCGACCGCCAGAAGTGAGACTAGAGTACAGGTTGGAGAAGAGAGAAAGGTGCAGGGTTTGAGAAGGGAGTTCTGATCACGGGAACCCAGGGAAGAATGTTCACGCCCTCTGAAATGCACAGGGAACGGTGGGGCTCTGAGCTTTGTATAATGTCTAGCATCTGTGACGTTCTACACATTTTACTAACGCAGTGTTTAAACAACCCAGCTTGAATATACAAGCAAAGGCTTTTCTGGCTGTGAAGCATCGTTGGCTTTATGAACTTCCGATTCATTGCTTACCTGCGTATACCACATTAGGTCACGGCAGCTGAGTGCTCTCGGGGACAAAGGAGGCACTAAAAGCACCAGATGCTCGTGCTTTAGTCTGGCAGCCAAGTCGTGTGTGTGTGTGTGTGTGTGTGTGTGTGTGTGTGTGTGTGCACGCACTGCTCGCACATTCTCCCCTGGGACTGAAGAGCTTTTTCCAGAATACACAGTAATTACCTAACAGCAATCACTCACCACTCACAAGTATGAAATGCCTTTGGGAGGAAAATAGATGGTAGGCTGATGTAATTTTGCAAAAAGAGGCACTCAATATTAAGAGTGACTAGGTGTCACAGTAAACAGAATTACCCAGGCAGCACAGCTTCTGTAGATTTTACCCATATAAAATATGCTGTCTGCTTCCTTCTCTGAGCTTCAGAGCCCCCATGGCGTTATCGGCACATAGGGCATAGCTACTCAGGGCAGCATTTAACCCTGAGATTGCTCCCCTGGACTCTCAACTTCCTGAACGCACCACATTCGCCTGTTTCTCTTCTTCCTCCAGTTTCACACACATGCACAGGTGCAGCTGTGCTGAAGGCATAACCTGGGACACTCTGCAGACTTCCACCTGACCCCTGTAGCTGCACATTCCAAAGTCAAGCAACAGCCAGAAAACAGTCTACTTATGTACATCATCAATACACACATCACATTTGAAAAATTAGCTTCTGGAGTAGTGTTTGGCCTTGAATTTTGTGAGTAGATCAGAATGATAATTCATTCAAATCTATTTCATTTTGTACTGCGTGTTGAACACTATGTGCCTAAATTCTTAATGATTATTGAGATAAATTCCTACCCCGGTATCATTTTCTTACTGTGCACAAGACACAGACTAAATCATAGAGAAATATCCCAGAATTGCATCTATTTTTACATCATCAGCCTTTGGAATTAATGATGAATATTAAAAATGGATGAGGTTGAAGTTCTGATGAATAGACACCCCTTGCGCATACACTGCTACTTGGACTGTTTCCGTTTGCCATTCCTCCTGGATGTTACATGACTTGAAGGCACAGCATTGGTGTAAACAAGCCAAGAGGTGTCACTAAGCATCTCAGTTTAAAATAAGTGCTTTAAAATAGTTAATTATACTTTACCCTAAAGGAAGAGACAATGTTTCCTCAGGTCCCTGAAAATGGATAATGAGTAAGTGAAAGCTTGTGGAGATGCAAAATTTGGTTGGCTATTTTTAAAGTGCTGAAATGAGGCTTCAAACAAGCTTCCCAGAGACCAAGTCATTACTGCTGGACTCTGGTCTCTTATGTGTAAGGACATAAGGGGAAAATTATAGGGTGAGGTAAAGGAGTAGGGAAAGCGCATTTAGGCTACTGGATAAGAAATAGGTTAAAAGCTACCCAACTAAAAGCCTGGTACAGGTTGAGCAAAAGATAGGTAAATTCACAGGGAGGAAAAAAGAAAAAGCACAGTACAAAATACACCTAAATATACCTGAGAATTCAGGGAGGAAATCGAACCCTAATCTCCTTCCTTTGTATCTATCCATTTTAAGAGATCAATAAATATTGTGTTGTTATTGAATCGCATTTGGGTCATTCGAGATTTACATGTAGAAAGTAGAACTATAGAACTTCAAAGATATTGAGTCGGGCATGGTGGAGCATGCCTGTAATCCTAGCACTCACTCAGGAGGCTAAGAAGCAGGAAGATTCTCTGGAGGCTGTGAGTTCGAGGCCAGCCTGGTCTCCGTGGTAAGTTCAAGGCCAATCTGAATTGCATAGCGAGATCCTGTCTCTTAAAAAAAAAAAGAAAGAAAGAAATTTAAATGAGTATTTCTGTAATTTTGGGTAGAGACAAACTATCCAAGCAGAGTGTCATAACTGGAAGCCATTATAATATATATTAATGAAATTTGACTAAAAACTATAAAACTTGTGCATATCTGAGCATAGAGAGTCTCATTCTCAACCCCAAGACCCCATTCTCAAAAGAACTGTTAATTCTAAAGCCTTAAATAAACATGCCTTAAAAAATATGCATAAGGAAATAAATTAAATGAAAAATTGTGATCCTGCCATGACTTAAATATTTCTAAAATAGCCACAGCACCAGGATGAGCTTCCCTGGGCTGGGTTAGTCCAGTGTATAAAGATCATGTTTCTGGAGAGGCAAAACCTGCCAGCAGCCTTAATCCCTCACAAAAACCCCAGACCACATGCAACCATTAGCCAAAGTAAACAGGCAAGGAAGGAGAAGGAGCAGCAGAGTTGTCAGTAAATTCGGCAAAGCTGGAATTCAAGCCACTGGTTGCAGTAATTCTCAGAAACAACAGCCAAACTCCAACACTCTGTGCTGTATGATTTTACAGTTGGACCAATGCAAAGGTTGTAGGATTTTTAAATTATATTATGCATGTATTAAACAGATATACCTTGGTCTTTTTAATGATATAAAAATGTTTCGTAGTGACAAATACTTGTAAGTAGTTCTAATGTGATTAATTTTTAAAGCATCAGGCCTGAGTGAAACATCAGCAAAGAATGTAAGGTTGAAAATCTGCATGGAACTCAAGGTCAAAGGAAACTGCTAAGTAGATTCTAAGTAATTGCAACACCCTGAGCCAAGGTGACCTGGTTCCATCTGACTGGGTGACTGCAGCATGTGGCTATGGCCAGCTTTAAGCAGCTACTGTGGGGTTTCATCGTGTCCAGAATCTACATCCTAATTGCAAAGTGTCTCTCCTTAATGTGCAACCACCTCAGGAAATGGAATAGTTCCACATGAATGGGGGCTTGTGTGCCCTAGTCATCATGCATTTTTTTCCCCTTGGATTTAAATGGGGTGATTGCTAAAACCCTAGTGATACTGTCTTCTGTGTATCAGCCCAGTGACCAGTTGGGTTAGTTCCTTTGACCCTGGTGTCATAGTCTCATTAAAGCCCCCTGGGTGGAGACCTTAGAACTCCTCACCAACAGGCTCCTCCACACCCTGTCGTGAAGCATCAGGACTGTGACCTACATAGCTCAGGCCCGCTTGCTTCAAACAGGCTAATAACTGAGGCAACGTGGTGGTAGGAATATTTGAACCAGGGAAGTAAAACAGTGCTGAAATTATCTGCCTCCATCTTCCCTTTGCTTGGGATGAGGTCACACAGCTGTTTCCATTGAATGAGATAAAATAAGCAAAGAATAGCTATGGGACCGTTATTTTACTTTGGCAAATCGTATTTGAATTCTTTAAGAAACTGGTTTTGGTTGCTTGAGTACTCAGTGTTGGAGAAAATTGCCTTGGAAATGGTAGACAGAGATCTGTAATTGAGTATTCATTGTCTGTGTTGGGGAAGGGGAAGGGCCGTCAGACAGGCAGCACAACCCCGGGCATTTCACCTTCTGCCCTGCGTGCAGAGTGCCCTTGCCCCTCAGAGACCTGCAGAATGCAGTATGTAACTGTAAACTGGGCTGTCCAGGAAGGGTCCCTTTCTACCAGATCCTGGATCGGGGTCAGTGCCCTGTTGAAAAGAGCGGCCTATGACCTCACTGGTGCCCAAAATCATGAATTCAACTGAGGTTTCTTTCAGTAGCCTCCCTGGTAGCTGAAGAAAGAAAATATGTCCCCATTTCTGGCCTGTTAGGTGTTCTCAGCCCAGCATGAAATTCTCCAAAGCAATGTCATCATTTGTTTGCATGGTTCTTCATCTAGACATTTCACTATGATCTCCCTCCACCCCTACCCGCTTCTCTTCCCGATTGCCCCTCCCCTGCCCCTCTCGCCACAGGTGTGGAAGACATCGTGGCCATAATGATTCCTGAGCCCAAAGGGAAGGAGATAGTAAGCCTGCTGGAGAGGAACATCACCGTGACGATGTACATCACCATCGGAACCCGGAACTTGCAGAAATATGTGAGCCGCACGTCGGTTGTGTTTGTCTCCATCTCCTTCATTGTCCTGATGATCATTTCCCTCGCATGGCTGGTCTTTTATTATATCCAGAGGTTTCGATACGCAAATGCCAGGGACAGGAACCAGGTGAGTACCAAAAAAATTCTTAAAAAATACTTCTTAAGAGTATTGCAAAAGCAGTGCACATTCCTGTGTAAACTTTGAAAGCCACAGAAAAACACCAAGACAAAAACAGAATTACCTGTTATCCCTCGGGTCAGCAAAAACTTTGTTAACATTTCCTGCATAGTTTTCATATATTTCCCAAACACATGTATTTTCCTGTTTATTAGTATTGTATAACATGGTCATGATTTGCCTATGTTCCTGTTCTTTTTGTGGACAGGTATTTAATCAAGAACAGAACAAAAGGAGACGGGAAATAAGTTGAGGTTATGTTAATAGTGTTACACATATATCTATGTATACAGATACTTTTTAAATAAAATGATAGCACATTTAACTGTATCCCTCTTTTTCACTTTATCTGGGAAATTATCTTGGAGTTCGATGCTTAGCAACACGCAAACCAGTCTCATTTCTAATTTCATGATCTGCATATTGTCACATTTAACTAACTTCTATTATAGCCAGGTTTTCTCTCTCAAAACAAAGTGTACACATTAATACTTAGCACATTTGTGAGTATGCGAAGTAAACCCTACTAAATTTAATTTGCTAAGAGAGTGGTATACACATTATAAACTATAACAGTTACTGGCAAATTACCTGCCAAAACTGTTGGACCACTTTATACTTTAGCCAACAGTGTATAAGAAATAGTTACAGCTTCTTTTTGGGTGCGATTTCATAAATTAACAATATAACCATTTTTTGGAGCTAAAGTATATAGCTACAGTGTATAGCTCAGTGGTAGAGCACTTACCTGTTATACCCTGAGTTTAATCCTCAGCACTGTAAAAAATTTTGTAAAAATCACGTTTTGTATTACAAGTAACATTAAACATTTTAAAGTATAATAGAAAAATTGAAGATTTTTGTATAATAACTGCTTGATCAGTTTTCATCTGAATTGTTGGTGGTCATTTTCTTTTTAATATACAGAAGGTCTTTATTATCAAAGAAATTAACCTTTCTTTGTGACGCACAATTCCGTTTTCTGTCCTAGCTTATCATTGTTTTTGATTTTATTTATGTTGCATTTTGCCATGCACACATTTTTGGTTTTTACATAACTAAGTTTATCAGTCTTTTTATATAGCTTCCATATATTACATAAGATCATCTACAGCCCAGAATACCAAAAAACTCTTGTAGTATTTTCATCTACCACGTTTTTATCTCATTTTTATGATTAACTCTTAGAGCACTTATTTTAGTATGACGAGTAAAGTACAGAACTAACACACTTTTTTTAGATGGCCTACCATTTTTGAAACTGCTATTCATTGAATAATCAATCTGTCCTCTCATATGCAATGTCCTCATTTAGCGTATATTAAATACCTATTTTATTTCTGTGCTCTCTTAACTGGACCATTAATCTGTCCATTCATATTCCAGTACCATCTAGTTCTGAGGACTCTAGAATTATAGTATGTCTCTTAGCTTTTCATGCTTTCTTTGTTGTTCTGTCTGTATTTTTCATGTTTTATCTTCGTATGAATTTAGAATCACTGTATGTTTCAAATTTATCGAATAATCAAAATGTTTAACTTTATGTCGAGTCTTCCTATTCAAGTATAACTGACTCTTTTTCTTGTGTCCAGAAGCATTTTAAAATATTCTTGCTAATCTTGCACATGTATTTATTTTTAGATATTTATTATATTGCCATTATAAATTTTCTTTTGCAAATATAAAGGTTTAAATTTTTGTATCTTTTTACATTATTCATTGCTTCATTATTATTACCTTAATGATGCATAGTATTTATAATATACAGGGGTACTGAAGAGCTCTATATAAATTTACATATCTAATCCTCTTAATAACTCTATAATCAGAAACTTTATTATCCTCCTACGGATGAGGAAATTGACTGCAAAATGGTCACATATCTCATCACTAATAAAACCAACAACTGAATCACAGTCCATGTTCTTAACTACTACGTTGCAGTGTTTGTGATTATATGTATTAAATTATCAGGATTGCATTAGTAATACCCACAGTTAGTAATAATTTAGTTATTTCAAATTTTAAGCATTAATCTGGCTTTAATTTCAAAATGTATTGGGTTTCCTAAGAGACCCCCAGAAAATCTAAAATAATATATTGAAAATATATCTTTTCATATAGTATTTGTGGGAACATCCTCACTTTAGGGGGATTATTTCTTTGCTTTTTTTTTTTTTTTGCAGTGCTGGGGATCGAACTCATGACCTTGCACTTGCTAGGCAGGCGCTTATGCCACTGAGCTATATCCCCAGCCCCTAGTGGAATTATTTCTATCAGTTTTCATCTTATTATTTGCTCATCTTCTAAGATACCTATTTATTTTGTTATAAAAATATATCAGAAACATCCACTTACTAGTAAGAATGTTTAATTAAAAATGGATGTTTAATCCAAAGAAATTCATGCTGAATAGGTATGCTTTACATTTTCTGTTTTATACTATTAAAAAGAATGAACTCTATTCATGGATTTCCCAATATTTAGCCATCCTAAATCTCAAGTATATTCTATTCCTTTCATCTGTCTTGGATTATATTTGTTATTATTTATTATATTATTCATTTTTTACCTTAGCATTTGAATGTTAAATGTGCCTATAGTTTATGCTTTCGGCGTGTTAGGTAGTGGTTAATCTGGCTTTATGGGAAGAATTGTCAAACTTTTCTCCATTTTCTGTAGCCTAGAGCTGTGATGTCCAACATGGCGGTCACTAGCCATGTGTGGCTCCTTAAATTTAAATTAATTATAATGAAGTGAATTTGAAAGTTCTGTTCCCATACACAGTGGAGCAGCCTGGCTGTGCCTATGCCAGGCGTTTCCATTACTGCAAAAGGGCTGACTGGGCAGCGTGGCTCTGAGGCACTTTACAAACGACTGCAATCGACTGATTCTTAAGTATTAGTAGAATGCTTGTGTGAGTTAATAGGTCTGAATTGTTGTTTGGTTTAGGAAAGTAGCTCTTTTACTTTTTTGTTTATTTTACGGCAATTGATCTACTATATTTTCTGTAACTTCTAGAACAATTTTTTAAACAGTATTCGTGCTTTTTTCTGATTCTCCAAATGATACATATTCATTTTACTAAACTTAGGCAACCACATAAAAATTGCTAAAGGAAAAACAAGCTACTCGTTACCACACTGAATTGTTACCAGTAGAGCATATTATTTTTCAGGTACTTTTAACCCCTTACATACATATTCAGTAAGCTGTCATTCTCTGTATATTCTGTGTATATGTACAGATGTGCAAGGCACACACGCACACACGCATGCAGACGTATTACACTTTGTATTAAATGGTGAGCATTTCCCCACAGTTAATCTTCTGAAATGTGAAGCTGCATAGGTGTCAAGTTCCACCACTGACCAGAAAGGAGAATTGTTTAGTTTTTTTTTGTTAGTTTTTAAAACTAAATAATAATATACCTTTCTTGTATGATTTCAGTGTGGATTAAATGGGTTGATTTTCATCACTGTCACAGCTCCTGAATGTGACACTAATCACTTCAATGCCCAGTGAATGGTATCTTTATTATTATCACTATCATGTCAATTCTTCAATGACTATATACCATATAACCTGATTGCCACTTTCATTAAATATTATGGCATATAAATGAACACAATGCCAGTTAGACATAAGGTGGCAGAAAAGGATTTAGAAATGCGTAATGGATTTGGTTGTATGGATTGCATCTGAAAAGTTTTCGTATACTTACATATGAAGATAGTCACTCAAATAATCACATAAAGCTAAATAGAAATGACATCATTATATTTTTGGCCCTGTAGATAATTCAAACAGGCATTAGATCCCTGAGACAAGGATAAGATGCTAATAATAAGTTGAATAATTATTTCAGTCGTTTCACACAGGGAAGGCACACGTAGCCTGCATGTCTGTCTAGGCACATACATATTCTGTGTTGCACATGAAAAACAAATTGGCAGATACAGCATTAATGTGGCACTATGCACTGAGTTTAAGTTTTACTCTGCTTTCTTTTTATTAACTTTCTGTGAACTACAGGGTCACACAGTAAATTGGGATTGTGGTGGAAGTTAGCACCATTTCCTCATCAAAATGATCCCAGTACTTTATACTTTCAGTGGATGGAACTAAAACACATAGTTTCCTTAGAAAAAAATATCCCCCTTTTGATGGACAGTGTGCTGCTCTATTTGACAGCAAGTTACAATTGGGCAGGCTATAGCTGTAATAAGCATCAGGTTAACTTAAATCATTTATGTTTGTTAAAGCATTATTGACCTTCAGAGTGACTCTCCAGTTCTGTGTAGGATCACAGCCTGAAAGGGAATGTAAAAGACATCAGTTTTACATTGGTGAAGTATCTAACATTCAGGTTCGCGAAAAGAGACTGAACTTGAATTGACCAGATGAGCACCTCTATCTGCGTGGCTTTGTGCAGATACAAGTAACAGACAGTCCTCAGCATTATATATGATTCTAACCCTTTTCATGCCGCACTGTAGTGTCCCATGTGCAGTGTCCCATGGAGTAAGATCCCTAGATGTTCACAGCAAGGTCTTTTGGGTGGAGACATGGAGAATAAAGGTCGCAGCTGAAAGTGAGGAGGCTGAGTGTGGTTCTGTTTCCTAAAGCAGATATGCCAACCTGAATCCCCTGCAGGACAGTGCAGACAGCAACTTTGAAATCACATGGAGCTAGATTCAAATCCTCCCTCTGACGATTGCTAGAGGTATGACCTGCATGAGCCACTACAGGTTGCAGTGCCAGGTGTCCTCACGTATAAAGTGAGAATGACAGCAGCCCCACAGGTTTGAGGTGAGGCACAAAGGAGAAAATCTATGACATTAGTAGAGAGTTGTCTTCTAATGGACAAAGCAATGCTTAGAAAATAGCAACCCCAGAATGTAAATAGCCACATTCTTACATAATTTACATGAAGGTAAGACTGTTTA